CTTTATAATACAAGTACTACTACTAAATACTGGAAGGAAATAATGATTAAAATATACCTGGAATCACATTTAAAAGCAGCAAAATTCCTCAAAGAAAAGAACAAATGTGACATACGTATCTATTCTTAAAGTTTTCTAAATTTAAGATTCAGAATTGTTCACTTCAAGTCCAGAAATCATCAGATCCAAGTGACAATAGCTGACTGACTTTACAGGAGATTCCATCTGAACTCTGTGGAGCCTCATCTAAAGGTTTTCAAGTTTGACTCTGCAACCAGAAGAGGATCTTTCTCTGTCTTCAGACTCACTGTGGCCCTGCATGATCATGCTGATGTTTGCACAGAGCAGATAATGAAGTGAATGCTTTTGGACACTGGCAACACCAAAACAGTTTATTTCTAGTGTGGCATTGTTTGTGTGAGGAGTATGAAGTGAGATTCCCGAAGCGCTTGTCACGCTGGTCACAGATGTAGTTCCCATCAATGTGTCTTCCTTCATGATGGTCACGACTACCTGTCTGTGAGAAGCTTGTTCATGTGAAGGAGTTCATGTTTTTCAGTTCACCTGCTGCGGGGAAGCCACTCCCACATTCTTTGCAGTAGTTCAGTTTGTGTCAAGTGCATCTTTTAAGGGGATTGCAGTGTTGTGGTTTATTTTATATCAACTTTACATTAGCAGATTTAGCAAACTTTTAGGTGATTTTTATCCAGTTTGACTTCAATATTCTGTACATTAAGTTTTTATGTCCCCTTGGCTTTTAAAATGAAAGATAATTTAGATAATGTTTTAAAATCACTGTAACAGTATTTCCTCTATGCTGCTCAAGGCTAACAGGTGTTTTTACCTGATGGTAGAAGATTTTGTGCCTCCAAGTTTAAAAAATGTATAATTCAGATTCCATTTCCCAATGCTGCTGTTGAAACATTCATGTAAATGAGTGATACATATGACAAAAAGTGGGATCAAAAGCAAAAATTAGAACGGGCAGCCCGTTAAGGGCCAACTTCTTGTGTCAAACATTAAAAAATAAAAATAGATACCTCACAGTAACTCCACTTGTAGAGTCTCTTTCTCGTGTGGATCTGGTGATGTGGTGTTCTTTAAGTGAAACTGGATCTTTAAAAGTCTTCTCACACAGGTCCAATTCATAAGGCCTCTCCTCAGTGTGGGTAAATGTGGGGTTTTAAGTGGGAGTCTGTTGCAAACTGTTTGCCACACTGATCACAGCAGTACACATCATACCCGGTGTGAACATGTAGTTTTCATCTCAGTAGCCAGCGGAAAGTTTGTCCAGGGAAGTCACAGCTGTATGGTTTAACTCCATAGTGTATAACTTGATGACTCCGCAAGTTGCAGAGCTCTACCACACTGATCACAGCTGTAAGGTTTAACTGTGCCCTGGAGGAGTTTGGGTCTTTTTAAGGTTCCAGACTCGGTAAAAGACTTTCCACACAAGTCACAGCTGAATGGTCTCAGTCCACTGTGGACGAGTTGGTGTCTTTTTAAATGTTCAATCTTCTGTGAGTTTGTCGGCCTCCTGAGAGCGCTGACTTCTCGGTCCGTGTTTGTCTTGCAGTGACAGAGATACAGACAGAGGCAGTGAGTGAAATGCAGTCGTGGAACAAACTGAACCTTCAAACTCTCTCTATTAGTTAAAACAAAGCACTCACTGAACACCTATTACCGCCACCTACTGGCAAAAATAGAACATGACATCCAACCTGGATGAAAAAAAATCCCAAAATTAAATATGTATTTTTGCATAAACTATTTTTTTAACTTAACAACCACTAGCATATACAAAACTCTTGTCCATTACTGGAGCTTATGTACAAATATTAATTGTAGCATTGTATCACATTCAGAACAGTAGTAAGTGTGTGCCAGGCTTATAGATTTCATATTTTCTATTTTAGTTTGACATGACAGTATGGTAATATCTGCTAGTACAGATTATAAAGAATTACAGTAGTAAAGCTTAGAAAAGCCAAATACTTTTACAAATACATTTTTCAGTGTCACTCTGAAACAGGATGGGACAACACTGCAAATGGAAGACAGCCATCTTAGAAACCTTTCATTAAAAGGGTTTGTGATATTAGTTGTTGTTCTGCTGTGAGTTTGACGAGTTTGTCTCTCACCTTCTATACCCTCTGCTTAGAGTGACGCTAAAGCTTGTTGTGGACCTTGAAAGCAGGTCAAGAACTAATGCCACCAGCTGAAGTCCAAGACAGTGGAGTCTGGAGTCTGTTGAACCAAAGATAGAGACTATTGAAATTCATATTTCAAAGTTTGGAGAGAATGACCTGGTTCTAGCCTACTATGTTAGGGAGAGCATCTAGAAAGAGTAGCTGGGAAGTTGCCTGAAAGAAAGATAGGTGGAATTGGGGGAAAAAACAAGGAGGAAAGTTAAAATCCACTGAAAGTAAATATCGTCAGGTAATGTGAGGAGGGTTTTTTCCTTTAGTAAAAGAGAACCTCTCATTCTGGGAGGCTCACTGAGTCTCAATAACTGAATGTAAACATATCTAAATACAATTCCTATTTTTTAGTCAATCATACACATGTGCTCTGTTTCAGTTTTGTGGTTTTGTGGTCAATTTAAAGACTGAAGAAAAAACAGAAGCAAAGCATGTTGGAGCCTGAAGGTGGCGCTAAAAATCCAAAAAAGGGACATCAGAGCAGCTCCTAACAAATTAGCCATCTCCAAATGAAATGTATTCAACAAATTAAACCAGAAAACAGAAGAAGAAATTACGGAATATTTGGTGTTTCCAAGAGGTACTAATACACAGAATGGCAGACCACATGACTGTGTGCCTGTATTAACACAGGTTGCAGGAACTTTACCTGCAGCTTCCTGCTGACCAGCTTCCTCAATGTGCTTAAATGTTTCTGCTTTAATTTAATGAGTCAATTATCAGTTGAGCCACTTGCACCAAAGCAGGCATTTAAATGTATATTTCTATCACTGTGGTCCTTTCAGCACCAAAAATAAATCATAAATCATCATTCAACTTCAGTTACTCCCAGGAGAAAGTAATTAGTTACACTACTCCTTACATTACTTTTGCATTTCTCTGTGAAATGAACTAAAAATCACTGTCTCATTTATTATTTATTACTATTTAACAATATAAACTTATAGGGTACAGTCCTACACAACAACACAGATCTCTATTCACACAACATCTTTTTAGTATTTAGGTATGAAGATGGAGCCGACAGCACCAAGAAAAGATGAAAGCCAACACAAATAGACCTATTTGAATTACTTACTTTCTAATGATGTCCTCCAACTATTTCCTTGCCATGTTAATTACACTTTCCACTGCTGCCCTACACTTCTACATGCCTAGTGTTAATAACAGCAGCTTCCTTTGACTGCGAAGTCTTAAGTTGTTGATGGTGCAGCTGCAGCAGACCCAACAGCTAACGTCTTGGTTAATTTTGCACATTTTGATGCATATATTTGGGGTTTATTCTCCTCTCTTAGCTTTACAGATCCCCTTTTTCACTTTTCTTTCTTTATTAAACACTTCATCCAAACTAAACATTTTACAAGGATCATGTGCACAGGGAAGATAAGGGAGGGGCCAGGTGCTTTAAGAGATTTTACTCACCAGTCCGTTAGTGTCAGTAATGAAATTATAATAAATAAATAAATAACTGGAATGCGGGATCCTGGGCCGTTGCACAGTGGCCCTTTAAGCATGCCCATAGCCTTGGTAATTCAATCCAATCTAGAAAGAAAAAAATACATCGACCAGTTGGGCCACAAGTGCGACGGACCACTTAGTAAGTGCCCTGTATGCCAGATTACTATTGGACATCAGGGGATTTGATGTTAACAAAGTGACTGGATGTCCATTTGTCATCACAGTAAATGACATCTGGCTTCCAGTAAGAGAGGGGGAAGGAAGGGTGTAGAAGTATAAAATGAACATGAAGAATGCATATGGGGTTCTTCCTTTTTGTCTTCTGTGAGATCTTCAGTGAGAAATTCTGAAGATTCGATTTCAGACATTCAAAGCTAAAAATTCCAGCAGAGAAACCAGAGAGATCAACCACTGTTCAAACTGTGAACTTGCTCATTTGTTTTGTATATTTTTGGCTTTTCCGTCTCAATTCTTGCCACATTAGATAATTAATTTTGAAAGATTTTGATTTGCATCATACTTCCACTGAGTGCCCAGGGGATGTTGTTTCCTGTTGGGTGATTGCTTTATCCTCTCCAACCTTTCTCCTCCAAAGGATCAGAATAAAATCACTATTAGCTCAGGGTAGGTTAGTTAGCTAAGTAGAATTAAAATTATTTGGTTGTTATACTTTGCGTTGGTGCTGCTAAAGTGCATCAATACAATTTCTACCTGTAAACTGTGAAATGACTGGACCCACACAGTGGCTTTAAGCTTTATTTTTTTTACCACAAGCACTCTCCACTACACACACCTCTCGCCAGTCTCCTGCATAACAATAAGAAGGGGAGAGAGTCATTAGTCCCATCAAAAATCGTGAAATCGTAAAGGGAGAATTTTTTCCCCTC